GATGGTTGAGCGTCAACCCATGAACCAGGTGATCACAGTTCAATTCCCAGTGCAGGCACATGCATGGGTTGCGGGCTCCATCCCCGGTGGGGGGCGTGCAGGAGGCAGCCAATTGATGATTCTCACCATTGATGTTTCTACCTCTCTCTCCCTCTTCCTTCCTCCCTCTGAAATCAATAAAAACATATTTTTAAAAATTCAAGTTCAACAACAACAAAAAAATGAACTCTCAAATGTTATCTGTTTCCTTTGCACTTAATCTTTCTTTTATATACATTACTTCTCTGAAGAGGTATTGTGGATAGTCGTATCACCATTTCATAGACGTTTATAGGTGACAGGAGTGCTAGGTGGCACAAGCAAAACTGGAACCCAGGACTTTAAACTTTGTAGTTACACAAAGTAGAATGACTCAAGTCTATGCAACAGCTACTGAGTTTCCAAATCTTCATACTCCTCGTCATCTAGAGATCCAGTTAAGGAGATTGTTTTGAATGTTTGAAAAAACATACCACAGCATTTGGACTAATTCTCTTAACTCAAAATGCTTTAGAAGTTGGGAAAATACTTCTGTTGATGATAAGCATTGAAGCTCAAGGTCCCAACATAGCGCTTCATTTGGAACAGCCAGTTTCAAATTCATTTCAGTTCAATAAACAGATACCTACTATGTGTTCAATAATGGTGGGGAATACAGGAATGCCCGTGCCATGGTATCTGCCCTCCTGGGACTTCCAGAGCAGCTCTGAGAGGAGGCACATGGGTATAGTACTGTGCTCCTAGGGACTTCGGTGGTCCTTGTCACATAAAACACACAAATGAGATGCTGTTAAAAAGTTTGGCCTATTACAATCCCCACAGTTAGGATGTTTATCCCTTTGGCAGTCCTTGTTAAATTTATTTTTGTTTATTAGGTTTTTTGTTTGTTTTCCCTTACAAAGTGGTCATTTCCAGGCCTACTGAAGATTGTAGACATGCTCTTCGTCTGAGCTCTTAGACTCTTGCTTTGGTAGCAGCAGACTAAGTTTAAGAGGGAGGTAGATACATTATCACAGTGATATACTGGTATGATAATTCCCCACTTGAAATCATTTTGTGAAGCCAAATTGTTACACTTAGAAACGCAGTCTAACTTCCGTTTTGAACTTCATAACTTAGATTAATAGTCACTCAGCTCAAAGTTGTTGAAGTTCAGGTGTCCCAAAGGACATTTTCTATCGAGGGTGTTCGAATGGCTTACTTCTCCCCGTTTCCCTGCATCTCTAACAACACCCAAAAGGACTCATCACCTAGAAGCTAGCCTCCTGGGTAGTGACAGCTGTCATTTATTGAGAACGCTTCCTGTGTGATAGGCAGTGTGATCGACACTTTACATTCATTTTCCTACAGAATGAAGTAGACACCATTATCTCCATTTTACAAATAAGAACATTGAAGTTGCTAACTCACATACTAGTTTACTGTATATTAGTCAGCTTTCCTCTAAATAGGTTGCAAACTCCAATCATATTTTTCCTTTTTGAATTTTTCAGAGGACCTATCATATAATTACTTTCAATAACCATCTGTTGGTGAGTTGAGAGAGCTGAAACCCCATTCCCCCTAACTAAGGTATATAATATGCTTATAGCTGACATTCAGCTTAACTATCTCAGGGAAATGCCACTCTTTTAAAATGTCCTCATCAAATTTTCTACCAGTAGCAGTTCGAATTTTTAGGTGCATTTACTTGCCTGAGAGCTGTGGCTTAGTTACTCATTTTTGTGCTAGAAGTGAGTCTGCAGATTTACTTATCACCAAAGTGATAAGTAAATTTTGATGCCCCCTTTCTTACCAAGAATTGGTCATTTAACAACTTATTTCCTTTTGAGATCCTGGTTTTTCCCCACTTTCATTACCTTTTTCATTCTGAATTTTGTGTTCCCAGTACAGAGACAGTTCTAACATAGCCTAACTTTTTTGACACACATTTTATGAGATGCTCTTTTACTTCTTAGAGTCTCTGTGGATCTGATTTAGTAATAGCCAAGTTACTTTTAATCAGTTTCCAAAAATATCTAAAACTAATGCTGATATATTTCTGGGCAAAATTATTTTAATTCAAATAATGAATTACATTACACATAACATGTATTTGTAATGCAAATTGAATTTTTAACATTTAAATTTTAATAACTTGGAACATAAGAATTCTAGAAATGTGTTCAACCCCAATTGTTATACATATGGAGAAAGAGAAGGTAGATGTGGGCAACCTAAACATTTACCTTGAAAGGAAGTTTTTTAGTATTATCAAGGCGTAATAACAATTTTAGGGGCATCCTTTAACGTTAAATCATGAATTCAAGTAAAAATAAATTACGTGCAGTGACAGCATTTTTTATCCAACATATCCTGTCTTTGTACATGGCATATTGGGATACTTGACAAGCAGAATAAGGGTTGAAGTTGGGATCTTGAATTGGAAGCAAGAGGAGCAAAAACAAATAATTATTGAATATAGCTTGATTTTTTAGTGCTTAACGTAATTGCAAACTTTGGAAATGCCCATTTAGCAAGAGGATCTCTATAATATATATTATGTATGTATTATTTATCTTTCTGTTTATGTGTATTTGTAACATAATTTTAAAATTTTTAATTGTTAGGTCACTAACTCTTACAGATTACTCATGCACTTTCAAATATGAAATTTGGGATAGCAAGAAAAAATTATAATATATTTAAAGTATAAAAATTATATTAAACTAAAACAATCAATGGAGGAGTTTGAAACGATGGAGAAAAATAGAGTACCGGGTATGTTCTGGCTTAAATGTTTTGTTTTTTTAAATATATATTTATTGATTTCAGAGAGGGAGAGAGAGATAGAAACATCAATGATGAAAATCATTAATCAGTTGCCTCCTGCACGCCCCCTACTGAGGATCAATCCCGCAACCAGGCATGTGCCCTTGACCGGAATCGAACCTGGGACCCCTCAGTCCTCAGGCCGACACTCTATCCACTGAGCCAAACCGGCCAGGGCTGGCTTACATGTTTTGAAAAGAAATTCAATGAACCAAGTCTGGTCTAGAGATTAATGTCAGAGGAAATTACTTATTAAGGTAGTATGTAAAGTTAAGAATGTAGGTTCTAGGAAAGTAGGATTTCCTGTCTCCTAGAAGTGTGATCCTGGCAAGTTACTGAGTCCCTCTAACTCTCAGGTACATCACCTGGGAAGGATACTGCTGATGTCAGCTGTTTCATATAGG